AATATTGTTCTTTTCTTTTATAAAAATGTTTAAGCTGTTGCATAAGTAGAGGTTCGATTTGTGGTTGCGCTTGTAAGGTTGAGCTTGTAAGGATCTAATTTGCTGACTATTGAAAGGCTTGGCAATATATTTTGCGCTTTTTGAGACTGCCATATTTCAGGATTTTGATGAAACTTTGCATGGTGGTAAAATTTATAGTCAAACCGAATACATTTAAATATTATAGGCCTATGAGAAGTGGTTTAAATCAAACTTATGAATACTATAAGTTATCGTGATGATTTTTTTTTCTACGTGAGATTTTCCAGAAAGCATCCCAACGATTCTTATGTCCCTATGTGGTCTATTTTTATTATTAGAATTTCTTAATTTTTTTTTATTAAATGATAAATTTTCACTTATAATTATTAAACAGCGGCCGGATAACCGCGTTAAATTACCCCAAATGGGGTAAGAATGGAATTTTTGGAAGCAAAAAGTATTTAATTGGTATTGACTGTATTTTCTGCGTATTAGTCTGTGCAGTAAGTCAGGTTCAGTAAAATTAAAACTAAAATTTATTAACTTCCCGAAGAAGTTTGTTTTCATCAAAAAATCCGAATTGCTAATTTTATGTTTTCTCGACGTTTCAAGCCATTCTGAATCGAATGAGACCAAATTTGGAAAAAGTATGTGTGTGTGTGTGTGTGTGTGAACAGATTTTTTGCCTTAAAACGACGTTTTCTCAAAAACGGCTGGAACGATTTCAAAAATTTAAAAGCCATTCGATGTATCTCGATGAGGACTAGCGTTTCTACCTTTTGTACGACGATCGGCCGAGCCGTTTCTTTGTAAATCGCAGAATAGTGAAATTTTTTTCGTCCACGTTTTAGGCCGCAATTCTGAATCGATTTTGAAAATTCAAAAACTGTTCGAAACATATTGGTTGGGAATCGACCTGATTAGTTTTTGGTAATGATCGGCCGGGCCGTTTTCTTGTAATAGTGTTAAAAAAATTTTTGTCGACGATTTTCATAAAAACGGTAGATACCATAGTCTTATAGATCATACTAAAATATTACGGTCCTACGACAAGTAGTTTAATTTTAAAAAATCGTCAAAGTTTGCAAAAATTAGCGTCATTTTTTTGACGTTTGTCAAAATTAGAACTTTCATCGACGTATGCTCAAAAACGCTTGAACCGATTGCATAAATTTAAAAGCCAATCGATGTATTTTAATGTGGATTATCTTTTCTCAATTTTGTGCAGCGATCGGCCGAGCCGTTTCTTTGTAATTTAAAAAGAAATGTTAAACTTTTCGTCCACATTTAAGCTCATACTACCGAATCGATTTTAAAAAATCAAAAACTGTTCGAAAGATATTATTTGGGAATGGTACTAATTGGTTTTAGGTGAAAATCTGTAGCAGTTTTCTTGTAATTAACTGTTGAAAAAAAAAATTAAAGCCGATTTTTATGGAACTTCTTTTTGGCGATATATATAATGGTCTTATAGAACTTACTGAAATATTACGGCCTTACGACAAGTAGTTTAATTTTAAAAATTCATCAAAATTTGAGAAAATGAGTAGTTTTTTGATGTTTTTTAAAATTAAAATTAGATGATCTACTTGGTATAACAATAGAGTACTTGGTCTTAATCAACATACTAAACCATTAAAGTCCTGCGGAAACTGGTTCAAATATAAAAATTGTTGATTTTTGAAAATTTGCTTTTACAAAATAATCTGAGTTAACATGTTCGTTCGTTTTTAATTATGGGTAATAAATCCACTCGGAATACTTTTAATCACTCATAAATTGATTTATTTTTTATTGATTAGGTAGATTATTTAAACATATCGGGAAGTTCATGTAACTCGCCTCAAGGCTAAATACCAAACCAACTAGTTTCAATTAAATTTTATAATAATTCATTTTTGCAAAGCGAAACAATCCTGCGAGTAAGCAAATCGCCGTGCGGAGCTTTCGAGCCTCGGCACGGTTTAATCCTGCGACCTCGTTCATGCAGTCGGCCGAAATGCCGAAATTCATTTTCGCCCGAGGCCTAGCAAATGCGCCACTGCTTCATGAGCCGAACTTTCCAAGTGTGTATTATTATATTGGATGCAAAAGTATATCGTCGGTATATCAACTCAACGGTCGTCCTGAGCGTTAAACAAAAACTCGCATACACACAAAGCTCGGTAGAATTCGGTGCTGCTCGTAGTGCGTCATGGACGACAAGTACCTATATGAGGTATATAAGCGACACAAAGCTTTGCCCGAGCGCAACCAGAGGATATTGTGCTTTGTACATAGCGTTGTACATAGGTTTTTTCCTGCTCCAGTGGCGGCACAATTTATTATAGATGTTTTGAATAGAAAATGTTGTTAAAAATAATGCACATGTATGATTTGCTATTTTTAGTATACAGGAATGGCTTGAAATTTTTTAAGAAAATTTAATTTGTATTACAATAAAATTAACTTATGTATTTTAGCTATTTTTTTAAAAAAAACTTAGCAAAAAACTGTTTTAAAAAATTATTATATGATTTAAAATGTTTTTGATGGCAAATTTTATTCGAAATTTATTTAAGCTTCTCCGTAGTTCAGTGGTTATAGCTATGGCTTAGAGAAAAAACGAAACCACCTTTTATTAACATCTTTTAAATTATAGTCTTCTATGATAAGGGATCGTTCAAGTATTACGTAAGCCCCCCATCCCCCTTGTCAGCAAAAGTAAGCAAAGCTCTTACCCCCTACCCCCATGCTTACGTAAACATTTTGCAATTAATGTAAAAAAATAAAAATACTACCTATGACGTAATCATCATCCAGACTCCCCTGCCCCCCATGTCAACTCAAAATAAGCAAATCAACAACCCCCCGCCCCCCTATAGTGTTTACGTAATACTTGAACGGCCCCTAATTTTTAAAAGAAAACAATAACTAAAAATTTAATTTAAACAAAATTAAATTTTAATTTTATTAAAGCTGACTTAGTGCACAGACTAATACGCAGAAAATACAGTTAATACCAATTCAATACTTTTTACCTCCAAAAATTCCATTCTTACCACGGTTATCCGGCCGCTGTCCAATAAGGATATGTGTAAAAATGATCATTTAATAAAAAAAATCACATAGAGACATAAATACTGTTGGAATCCTTTCTGAAAACTCTTCGTAGAAAAAAATGAAAAATCATCACAATAACTTATAGTACTCATAAGTTTGAATTTAAAATGCTATTAAAAAGAACAGGATTTATAAATTTAATGACACAGGTATAATTTCCCAGGTAAATTTTATAGAGTTTCGAGTAGCTCCTACCGTTAGTTTTTTCTTTGAACGTACGGGTTAAAATTAAATATACGTGGTCTGTTCAAAAAGTACCCGGAATTTTCGTTTTTTCAAAAAAATATTTATTTATTCGTCTACATTAATGTGGTCCCCTTCAAAGTAGTCCCCCCCAGATATAATACACTTATGCCAGCGTTTTTTCCAATTTTCGAAGCACCCTTGATATTCACTTTTTGATATGTCCTTGAGCACTCTCAGCGATTTTCTTCAATCGAGGAAAACCGCCGTCCTTTCATGGGTCTCCTTCAACTTTGGGAATAGGAAAAAGTCACACGGAGCCATATCTGGTGAATTTTTGCACTTTGCAACACTTTATTTCATTTTTTACGCAAAATTTAATACAAATTCTTTGACTTTTCAATTCTTCCATTGTAAAAATCGCCGAGCTCAGAAAAACACGTCGAACCTTAGCGACTACCACAGACAAAGTAAACAGTGAATATAGCTGAAAATTTCATCATACTTTAGGGGCATGTATACCAACACAATAAAAAAAAAAATTTGACAATCAGACACTCCAGACCCGCGAAATTTAATTATTAGTAATTCCGGGTACTTTTTGAACAGACCACGTATATTAATAACAAATTCAATATCAATATTCAAAGTGTGCAATATTTGGTAGCTTAAACCAAATTAATAAAAGGTAATTAGTACTTAATAGAAGGGCTAAATTGGTAAGAAAATGCATATGATTGCTGTAGTAGGAAAGAACAAAAAATACAGAAACACAGGACAAAGCTGAAGCACAGGACCTGGAAGCATGGAAACAAAAATATGGAAAAATGTATAAAAGTGAATAGTAATGAAATGGTGGCGGGAATAATAAACAAGGGAGGAAAATAGAATCATTGATTTGTGATGCTCCACTACAAATGGATGGACGTGCCTTCTGGCAGACTAGCTCTATTATTACGACTGATTAGTACTTGCAAATTTTGTATTTATAAGGACATTCACTTTTAATAAGAATATTCACTAGTTACAAATCATTTTAACATCGTATTATCGATTACGTGAGCAGAGGAAACTTGAGAAACAATTACCAATGTGTAAAAAAAATTATATGGGATCGTTCAAGTATTACGTAAGCAGATTTACTACAATAATTTACCCCCCCTCCCCTTTGTCATCAAAAGTAAGCAAATTTCTTACCAAAAATAGGCAAAATAAGCAAATAAATAACCCCCCCCGCCCCCCTACAGTGCTTACGTAATACTTGAACGACCCCTATGTATAATTTTAATATAGTGATATTTTGTGTTTTGTTTTGAAAATTAATGGGTTACAGAAAAAATCCTGCAGGATTGTATAAATTTACTGAAAATAATTTAATTTTAAAAATACTATCCTATTATCCTTTTTTCTGTATTTTCGTCCGTTCGTGCGCCACCCATGCTCTTATATAAAACATTAGAAAATTACAAAATAGGGACCGTGCATGCCGTCTATATACTTACGAACCGTCACAGATGTATATACAATCTGGTATGTGAGACAAATGCGATCCTGGGCAGCGCGACCGAGCGGGACAGGAGACGATGGAACGGTTACATACGGGCCCGTAACATGTGTCGGCAAAGGAAAGAAATAGCATAAAAGAGATGATTGTATTGAGAGAGGGAGCAACGCTTTGCTTTCCGAAACAGCCAAACATAATGCCAGTAAGGTTAGACTAAATTTGAGGAAAAGCCTCAAAATAATCAAAAATCAATAATAATGGTGATATAAATAATAATTGTGTTTACAAACAATCGATGATGGAGTGCAACATTTACTTATGTCTTGCACTACTTACGAACACCTTGTGTAAAGTGCGTATATCGTGAAAACTAAAATATGTCACTCTTATTTATGAAAACCTCTCTTGGCATTGGTATCAACCGCTCAAACTGGGAATGGATACAAGATATGAATTAAAAATAAGTAAGTCTTCTGTTACGATTACATTTACCATATCACTATTTAGGTAATATTTACACATAACTAAATTATAGATACATTATCAGTAACACTCTGCCCCTAAATGAATGTTTTATTTTTGTCATGTATTACACTGTACCATTCGGTGAAAAATAATCTTTGGAATTTATTTCTTTTGTTTGATAAATTAAATACACAACAATAACCCTTTAATAAAATTATTCATTAAATTATTATAATTTTACTTCAATACATCATTAATAAATTAATTATTTTTATTGATTTAGTAATAATCATAAATGAATCCTCTGAATATTTTTTTATATTTAAAAACAAAATACATATATACAAACATACATACAAACAAACAAACATATATATATATATATATATATATATATATATATATATATATATAATGTAAGTTCTTCTAAGGCGATACATCCAATAAAAGTCAAAGATTTAAAAACTTATCTTTAATTAATTAATCTTAATTTAATCTTTATTCATACATTATGACATAAGATTTTATGTCATCATCAGTGTATATGGTGTTTTACATCAGTAGACTTGAGCAGTATTTCAAAGCCTCGATTGCATTCATGATTACAACTTACTAGTACAAAATTATCCTGCAATTCATCTAAAGTATTCATGTTTCATAACACTATTTTATCCAATTACGATCCTCTTCGTGAATGACAAGCTAGTGTAAAAATATTAGTGCTAAATTATGTGATACCGATGTAAAACACCATATCCGTATCCACTGATGATGACGTGAAAACTTATGTTGAAACTAATGGAAAACGATGAATTTTCAAATATTTGCCTTTCATTTGATGTATCGCCATAGAAGAAGTTACTTATGTATCTCTACCTAAATATTAAATACTTTAACACACACACACATATGTATATATATAAATATATATATATATATATATATATATATATATATATATATAAAGCGAGAGGTTTTTCTTCAGATGGTGAAATAATATGATAAAATTGTATCTTGGGCATCCATCCAGTAATTAAAAAACAGTTTTATTGAAAAATGTTTTTATTTAGAGAAACATACGTTTCGGGTCTTGATTTGACCCATCTTCAGTGCTACAAGTAAATACACTTTTTCACAATAAAACTTTTTTAATTACTGGATGGATGCCCAAGATACAATTTTATAATATATATATATATATATATATATATATATATATATTTATTTATATATACAAAACATATGATAGTGATAGTTCAAATAGATTTTTTTCTATATATGTTGTACATATGTTTATTAAAATAAAATGTATTTATACTACCATTCCATTCTAGATATCACTTAGTTTTAAATATGGCAAACTCCACATCTTGGGAAGATATTGCTCCCAGGCGACCCCGACTTATTGAAGTAAACCCTTATATCACATGTATGTTATGTCGGGGATATTTAGTGGATGCTACAACGATTGTAGAATGCCTGCACTCATGTAAGATTATAAGATAATGAAAAAATTTTGTACCTGATAAAATGTTACTAGTGTTTGACGAATTCTTTTTATTTTCAGTTTGTCGCAGCTGTATAATTAATCATTTAAATGTGAAATGTTATTGTCCTGTTTGCGAACTAATGATCAACATGGCAAAACCGAATATTAAGTAAGAAAATTGTCATTTATTTTAAATTTGATTTAAGATGCGTGATTAGGAATTGAAATATTGATTCTTATAATTACTTATAAGAAGAAAATTATATTAAAAAATATTGAAAAAGTTAATATCAATATTAATAAAATTAGTTGATTACTGATTAGATTGTGTTTCATAACTAATGATCCTTAAAATAAGTTTTTTAAACTTTTTGCATAATGGAATCAGATATAATGAGATTTCTTTGATAACATGTACTGTAATTATATCTGGCAGCTTTTTTTTTATTTAATTAGCAATGATAATATCAAAATACTTAATCAACTCTAAAAATTCTAGGCCTGATAAAGCTTTGCAAGATATTGTGTATAAGCTAGTACCGGGTTTATTCGAGCGTGAGATGGAAAGGAGAAGGATGTTTTATGAAAAACATCCAAAAGCTGCTGCTCTTGCAAGTCCTGAGCAGCGTGGGGAAGATATGGAAAGACTTATCTTTAGTCCTGATGATAAAATATCATTATCACTTGAAATGACTTTTGGGTAAGAAATACTTCAATGAAAATTATTATGCACAAGTCAGTTTTCTTGCAGTGATTTAAAACACAAACAAAAATATGTTTTCTGTTTCACAACTATTAACAAATTGTACTTATTTCCATTATTTTTGTGTTTTAATAAAATATACTTGTAGGTCAGAGTTTGAGACATTATCTACTTGCTCTTCGGACAGTGGTACAGATACATTAAGTTCATCATCTACAACAAATTATGGTAAACGTTACTTAGAATGCCCTGCTAAAGTAAAAATATCGCATTTGAAAAAGTTTCTCATACACAAATATGATATAGATACAACGAGACATAATGTAAGCATACTATAACCATATAATATTTATACAATTATATTAATTAATTCATATCAAATATTTAATGATTTTGTTATTCAGGTAAATGTTATGTATAAACGAGTGCCTTTACCAGAGTTTTATACTCTCATGGATACAGCATATATTTACACATGGAAAAGAGTAAGTATTTTATTTTTCTAAATGTCATATTTACAAGCAAGTCTCTGATTCATATTTCTTTTTACAGAATGAACCTATGAGATTTTTTTATAATTTTGTTAAAAATATTACGTCCATAAATGATTTTGGGATATTTAAGTGCACAGATACTAATGATTCTGATATTGATAATGTTAAATTAAACAAAGAAGACTTTGTGGATATTAATAATTGTGAAACTAGCCCTGTGACTGAAGAAACAGAACAATTTGTTCAAAATGAAAATAAAGCCAATAGTCCAGTGTGTAGTTCATTTGAAAATAATGATGATAGGTTGTTTAAATAATGATGTAGAAATGAGAACTACTGATGTAAACTTAGTTAGTCAAAGTGAAACAAAGTCCGAACCGAGTGAATCTAATAAACCGTCTACAAGTGATGTTTAAACCAGATAGTGAATTAGAGAAAATCTCAATTTTAGAATTAATAGAATTGACAGCAAAGAAAAATTGCTCTCCACAAAAAATATTAGTTCAAATAAATCACTTAAAATCAAAGACTGTAATAAGATGAAAATGTTTCTGCACACCAACAAAGAAATCTACTGATAATAAAACAAAGGTTATTGAAAAAAATTAGCTGGTACGCCTAAAAATGGTATTTCACAAAATTCTAAAGATATTAAAGCTGAAGCTAATATCAAGAGTTTATCACCTGATGTACCAGTGAAGAAAAGTGATGTAAAAATGAGTAATATAACAGGTGATTCTCCAACAAAAAACACAGAAAATAAAAAATCGTTGATTGAAATTCTGAAATCAAATATTTCAGCAACCATGGCAAAAGCAAACAAAAAAATATGACTGTTAATACTATATTGCCCTCAAAAGTAGAAGGTAAAGACAAAAAAATTGATACGACATCTGTTCCAGCAATGACACTTTTGCCTAAAACAGATCAAACTACAACTAATAACGTCAATTCTGATAACAAGAGCCTTATTCTTGAATTATTAAAAACAGATATTAAATATGATAAAATAACTACAAGCTCAAAGGAAGTTAAAAATGAATCATTAACTGATTCATTAAAAGAAAATTTTGTGCATGATATATCCAGAAGTATAAATCACCAGAAAAAGTAACTCAGATATTAATTCTTCTACCAGTACAATGGACTCTAAAGAATGCAATAAAGTTGCAGTTTTAAATAATGAAAATTCACACCCAAATCAATTCATCTCAAAATGTGAAAAAATGGAAATATGTGAAATCTCTCAAGTGTCTGCAAAAAATTCTTGGATTTGAAAACTTGTTCAGTTAGCAGCAAGGATGAAAATAAATCAATTACAACTTCCATTCCTAATTGTAATGTTAGCACAACTCCAAATGTTGATGTTAAGAACTTTTCAAATACAGATGTTAAGAAATCTCCAAATACAAATGTTGAGAAATCTCCGAATATGGATGTTAAAATATCTACAAATACGGATGTTAATAAATCTGCAAATACGGATGTTAATAAATCTGCAAATATGGATGTTAAGAAATCTCCTGAGAAGCAGACTGTTACTAAACAAACTTCAAATGATGGAGAAGTTTTAGTCAATTCAAATACTACACATCAACAAGTCATAAAGGAGAAACAAATAGATAAAGGTATCTTGTCACAGCTAGCTTTGAAAACATTATTCCTATACAATCTACTCCTACACAACCCACTACACCAGTTCAATCTTCAATGAAGGATCCAGGATTAAAAAATGGAAAGCGTAAGATTTTTACTCCTAGAATTAACACAAAAAAGAAAAAAATTAGTCCAGATTTGGGTGATGAACTAAAAATGGATTTATCACCTCTCACACCTGAATTTGCTATTAACAGATTAAAAATAATTTGAACAATTTAAATAAAAGTTGTGAGCTTATGCCAAAATTAAAACAAATGCAAAGTTCTATTAACCTAATGGTAACAAAAAAACTATCAAAATAGCTCCAGTGCCTAGTCCATCAAATTATTCAACACCAACAGCAATGAAAGAAGGTGTGAATGATGTAGCAATGCACAAACCTCCAGAGACTGATCAAAGGGCTTGTGCACTTCGTAACTTAATTGATTCGGGATATTTTAAACTACCTTCATCCTTATCAATATCTCTCACCGAAAGTAAAGATCCAGTACAAGCCTTAACTAATAACATGAATGTTAGTGAAATGACACTCACTGAAGTTAAGTCTGAACAAATAAAATTATCTGAAAATAAAAGAAATAGTCCTGTTAATAACTATATAGAAATCTTAAAGTTGCCCGAACAAAATGCTAAGTGTGATGAAAAAACTACTAAAATAAATCAAGAAATCAGTCTGAAAAGTCCAGGACCTATACCAAGTTTAAAGCCAATTGATACAAAAATATCTAAGTCAAGTCCTCCACAAACATTTCAACAAACTTTCCTTCAATCCCTACAGCAGATTGATGCAATGAGATTGATGCATGCACCTAAATCCAACAGAAGTAAAACTGAACAATTTCCGGTTAATGCAGGAACATCATCAAAACCACCTTGTCCAAACCTTCAGAAAAGTCCTAAATCAAATATATCTAATAAAGTAAAATCTGATATTGCTCTAGATCTATCATCACCAAGCACTATCCAAGGCAAACTCTCTGAACATGAACAAAACCATTCTAAATTACCACAATTACCATTGACCACAGCTGAGAGTTTGGAAGCTCAAATGACTTTACAATTATCAGCTTTGTTCAAAACACCACCTGCAAATCTAGTTTCTAATTCTCCAGGCTCTAGTCCGCCTTGTGAATATTCTAGGCCTAGTTCAACCAATTCCCTAGCTGGCCATCCATACAAACAAATTCCAAAATTGTATAGTAGTCCTAAAACCCTTATAACATAAACTTGGCTGCTTCGCACATGGCTCCTTTTGCACAACAAGCATTTTTGTACCAGCAATTAAAAATTAATCAGCTGGAGAGTACGTTTGGCACTGCAGCCATGATACAATTGTGAGAAGTTTGCAGGCTCAAAATAAAAGTCAGCCCAGTGCAAAGAAGCCTTCTCAACAACATGGAAATATATATTCCCCAAAATCTAAATAATAGCTGTGATCATCCATTAAGTATTGTGTTTTGTTTTCTTATTCGTTTGATGTTTTGTTTTCATTTGTATGAATCCTATTGAGTGAAGTATTTATTTATAATGTAGATATTAGATTCGCTGACATAATTTTAATGTAAATGTTATTTGTTTCTTTGATGGTATACAATAATATGAATTATAATGAGAAGTTTGCTCATAATGTTATGGTCATATATAGTTGATTATAAAATTCTATTTATTATCTCTGTATTGATAATAAATAAATGAGCAAACTTCTCATCACAAAATATTATCTACGTTAATTATTTATAATTGTGTGAATGTGATTAATTAGTTGTACATATATATATTTTTATTTATAAATTGTAATTATTTTGTAAATATTATATCAGACATAATATCTGACATTTTAGCTATATTTTAACTAATTAAGTTATATTTTACATAGGAAATTTTAATCACTTTTTTACTAGAGTTTTATATTATTTATTTGCAACTGACTATTATATAGATATTGATATACAAAATTCATTTTTGTTATGTTCTTATTTTATAATTGTTTTTTACACTCACTGTCAAAGTAAGGTAATTCTTAATTATTAGCTATTTGTCATATATGTGATATAATAATCCAACCAGAAAAAAACAAATATTTTTAATAGACACATATCTTGAAAGACTCATACAGTATGTTTGAATTATGCATAAACACATACAAATTATATACGTAAGCCAATACATGTATAAGAGAAAGAGATTTTAGGCTAAAAATAGAAGGAAAAACATGACAAGTGTGAAACTATTTTATTTCATTAAAATGATTAAGAAAATTTAACTACAGGATGTACTGTACATTAAGATCATTTAGTTTTATTAAATTTAAATTAATAAAATAAACTAAGTTTTGTTGTAAATTAGTATATACTAAATATTATACCCATCTTGCTTTTTATCTGAAGACTTGGCCACATATTACTTTTACTGGAAAGTTATTCATAAAATATAAAATAGTTTCACAAATTTCTCGTTTTTTACATTAGAAGCACTACAAATATATATATATTATATATATATATATATATAATATATATATATATAAATAAATATGAACTCACTACAATCTATTTTGCACTATTTTATTAAATAATGTCATAGTAACAAAAGCTTTGTAGCTTATATTATTAACTCATTTAATAAGATAGTACAAAATAATACACACAATGTAAATGCATATAAATTCATATACATGTTATTTAACCAAAAAAAAAAATCTTATATGGTACAAGTAGGTAAACGTAATATTTTACCTTAATATGTATTACACTATTTTTGATAATTGAAATATATCAACTGTATTTTTAAAATTGATTTATGTGTGATATATTTTACATATAAATCTTAGATAAACATTCCAAAAAAAAAAGTCAATGTTTTAACTTCACTTGGTTTTTATCAGTTTTTAACTGACGTTTGAATTGAAACATAATGAAGCTCAAATAAACATAAAACTTTCATCACTTTTTATCATAGTTTATAAGACGTATTTATTTTAGAAAAGAAATTGGATGACTAGAAGAAACTTATTTTATAAAAAGCCAAATTTTATTTAGAATCTTAAAGGTGTATACCATATTTCCAAGCTATGAACATTTAATTATCGAATAAGCGGTGCATGGTATTCCATGAATGCTTAGATGTTTAATTATAAAAATATTATTAAAGCTGAACTTTTTTTTAATGTTTGGAATGTCTAGAATCGAGCTTCAAAATTTAGTAGATAAACACAATTTTATATGCAAGTTTTAATATATAAGAATACATATATTTTTATTAAATGACAAAGGTTGCATTATTCTAAGTCTATTATATATAAATTGTAAATATGTATGATTTTTATTTTATCTTATATAAAAATAATTCACCCATCTTGTCATTATATTATAATTCATAAGTTTTTTGTGAAAGGTTTATAATTGTTTCATGTCATTGTCCTAGAATAAATTGACTAAATTTGAAAGTGATACACAAATATAAACGATTGGAAAATGAAAACTTTCATTATTTTATTTTCTATATGTGAATGCATATGTGAAAAAAATTGAGAAAATACATAAGTATTTCGAAATATATTAATATAATTTTTCATGTGTTACTTCTTTTTGGTACAAGCCAATAGGGAATAATAATGTGGATATTGAAATTAATTTGCAGTTTTCCTAAATACAGAAAAATAGCAGATGCAAAATTCTGCAAAAAATGAAAATTACTAAAGTATGTAAGTTGAGATTGCTAGCATCATTTTCTAGATCACTGCCAGTCTCATAGAAAAAAAGGTCTCTATTTCGAACCTAATCCTATTTCTAATTTTCTAAAATATTTTACTGATATGTTCCATATGAAAGATATTTAATGTTACTTTTAATACAGAATTTCAAACATGTTAATGATGTTTTTAACTTCCCGTAGGGTAAGTTATTGTAAAAAACAATAATTGTGCGAAAAACAATATTTCCCTGAAAAAGATCCCCTGAAAGTTGTTTTCCCTTGGGGGTCCATATAATAGAATATGATATATTTATAATGCTTGAAACTTCGATAAAATATAAAATCGTTAAATCCAATTGTCTGGTGCGAAAAACAACATTTTTCTGAAGTACATCCCTTGAATATTGTCATGGACCCTTGGGAGTCCATATATAATAAAATATGATATATTCATAATGCTTGAAACTTCGAGAAAATATAAAATCAATAAATCGAATTTTCTAGTGCGAAAAACAATATTTTCCTGGAGTTGATCCCTTGAATGTTGTCATGGACCCTTGGAGGTCCATATAATAGAATATGATATATTTATAAAGCTTGAAACTTCGAGAAAATATAAAATCAATAAATCGAATTTTCTAGTGCGAAAAACAATATTTTCCTGGAGTTGATCCCTTGAATGTTGTCATGGACCCTTGGGGGCCCTTATAATAGAATATGATATATTTATAATGCTTGAAACTTCCAGAAAATATAAAATCAGTAAATCAAATTTTCTGGTGCGAAAAACAATATTTCATTTAAGTTTCCTTAGACCCTTGGAGGTCCATATAATAGAATAAGATATATTTATAATGCTTGAAACTTCGAGAAAATATAAAATCAGTAATAAAACTTCCCGTAGGGTAAGTTATTGTAATGGGCCGAAAATCGGAATTGAAAATTTTTACATTTTTCGACGTTTTGAAGGTTTCTGAACATTTTGGCATACTTCAGAAAAAATGGACGTGTGTGTGTATGTGTGTGTGTATGTATGTATGGATACAAATTTTCGCCCACGTTTTCGGGCGTACGGATGAACCGATTTGAATGGTTTAAAAAACATTCGATTCCTATTGATAAGGAAAAGAGCTGATTAGTTTTTGGTAGAGGCAGGTCCAGCAGGTACGGAGATAACGAGCAAAGAGTGCAAAAAGTAGAAATCGAATTTTTGAGAGAACGGAGTATCCGATTTGAATGATCTAAAAAAATTCAATTAGTAATGATTTTGAGAAGTGTTTATTAGTTTTTGGCAAAGGCAGGCCCAGCCATTTTGAAGATACGGAGTTAAATATGTAGAAAATGGCAGTTTTTGAGAGAACTAAGCGTCAGATTCAATTGATTCAAAGAACTTTCTGCTTGTCTTGTTCCAATTTTTTTTTTTTTTTTTTTTTTAGTTTTTTGTATATCGAAAATAATTCTGACTATAGTTCTAATATACTTTACAAATAATTTCAACTCTGCAATTCAGTTTATATAATTCTTATAAATATTAGACAATGTTACAATATTTATAATAATCTATTTGAAAACATTCAGTATTCCTCGAACATTTCGTTACGGTACGGGAAGTTCCAGCAATTTGCCTTAAGGCACGATGCCATAATTGCCTCAAGACAGAATTCCACTTACAGATAGTTTGGATTTTCTGGTACGAAAAACAATATTTCATTTAAGTTCGATTTTTACATAGGTTATGGGTTACACAACCCTGCCCTTTTGGCAACTAACCAAACATGTATCATATTTACTTAAAATGACATTTATGTTTTCATTCAAGTTACGATGAATTTAACACCTTCCCAAAACATTGGAATAATTCAAAATGCATAATATCCAATCTTCATTCATTAATAACGTGTTACAGGATTGATAAAAATTATTTGGGAAAATTGTTACATGGCATACAAAGTCGTACATTTAAATTCATAGAATGGAAATAATCAGGACCCCAAAGGTAATAAATGAAATATGAATTAAAACAACAATAATTACAATTTATTTAATTTATCAAGGTCGAAAATGTTCGGATGCTGGACAGGTACAACAGCCGGAAACCTTCAAAAGGAACACTGTACATTACAGCAACTCATTTAATATTTGTGGATCCTGATGCAAAAAATGAAACATGGGTAAATGAAACATTTTTATTACCATAAAACTATTTTACTATCCAGGTAATTATTTTAATTTTTGTGTTTTAGATATTACACACACATATTGCAGCAGTAGAACGATTACCGTTGAGTACTACAGGATGCCCACTTCAAATTCGGTGCAAAACATTCCAATCAGTAATATTTCTTATAAGAAAAGAAAACGATAGCCATGACGTTTATAATACTTTGTTGCAATTAGCCCAACCTGGTTTGTAAAAGTTAACTTAATACTCATTAATAGCATTTCATATTTAATTGCACAATGAGAAAATAATAATAACAGTAATACTCTGCTTAAGGTGGGTGTTGTAAAGTGAAACAGCACTAATTGAGG